AGAGAGAGAGAGAGAGAGAGAGAGAGAGAGAGAGAGAGAGAGAGAGAGGTGAGATTAAACGGAGGGTAGAAACTCTCTGAAACACTCCGGGTTCTGCAGTTGGCTATGTTCGTTTGCTCCAGGACTGTGGGGAGAATGGGTGGCCAATTGGTGATGACGGTTGCTGTAGCACTCAACCTGTTGGTTTTATGTCCAATTTGTCAATGTTTTCCATCAAAGCTTTCATCACAGTTATCTCAGGCAGATGCTCTGGGGGCCAATGGTGCGTTTGGAGGGATGAGCATGGGCATAGATCACGAGCGTTGCGACAATGTCAAGTACCTAACGAAAGGATGGGCCAGCCCCATGTCACTGGAGGGCCACCCACATGAGTCACTGCAGAGGTCCGAGGAGAATAAACAGACTGTAGCACAGGAAGACGGGATGGGTCAGGTAGTGACAAACCATTTTGTCTCTTCCGCGATGACCTTCACCCCAAGCACCATCGGTCTTGAGACTGCAGGAAGTGGAGATCGTAGAACCATCAACTTCATGGTGGGGGGGGGGAGAGAACGCCGAGAAGGTCCGTCGTGGGCAAGACACCAAAATGAGGGGCGCCCAGATGTCCCAGAGGGGAGCGACATGGCACTGGCCAGTACATTCCTACGGGGAACTCCAGGGTCTGCAGCCCTACATCTAGGTACACGATCAATCATGAGAATGGCGATGCAGCAGACGCTAGCAGACACACAAGAGGAACAGCAGAAGATGCCATTGCAACTCAAAGAGGATCGCAGAGAGGAGTCCATAGAGGTGACGGTACATGACATGAAATCTCTATATGCAGCAATGCATTCGCCCAATATAACTGCAAGAAGTTCATATGTCATTATTATCAGACGGAATCTGCTGTACCAAAATGATTGGTTTTCACGAACGATTATCATCGACCGTGATGCAAATCTAACGCTGAGAGGTGAATGTGGCAACCGACGGTGCGTCATCGATGCTGGGCCAGGGTCTAACCTGTGTTTGACACCCAGCAGTGCCTGGGGTTCGTTCTCCATCCATAACCTGGAGTTTCAGCACTTCTGCTTCAGCTTCATTGCCACACGCGTGAAGCTATGGAATTGTGTGTTCAGAAGATGCCGACAAATGCGCTTCAAGTGGCACAGAACTGAGGAAAGGTATAGGTCTCGCGCACAGATGGCTGCGATCGACTCCTGCGACTTCATTGGCACCCAGGGAACGGTGCAGATTGATGGGTTTCCACCCGAAGGTTGTATCTCTAACTCGCGCTTCATTCCTGACAGCACTGACAAAGACGTCAGCCCTCCAGCTCTGCACTTAAAGTCAGTGGGGATGTCCAACAGCAACTCGTTCAGCATCTCCAACTGCACCTTTGGAAAGGTCACCCCACCTGGCAGGTCAGTGGCCATGGCAGATGTCACACTACATGTTGATAACAACGACTATCAACCCTTAGTGCACGATGTGACTTTCACCGGCTGTAGGTTTGTCGGAGGAAGCCGGATGAACATCGAAATTGAGATGCTCAATATTACGAGCAGCAGCAGCCACGCGCATATCGTCAAAGTCCATTTCTGTAACACACTGTTCGATAGAACATCCTCTCCCCAGTCAAGCGCTCATCTGGAAAAGCCTGATGTCAATGTGAGATGGTTTGGGTCCGAAGACTCCGAAGCATTACGGCCATTCAATGCAGTGATAGGATATTGTCAGCTGGGTAGGATCAATGATGCTCGTGACTTCCGAGTGAAATCTAATCATCAAAATTATACCAACCTAAGCAACCTTCAAGTTCTAAGACAGTCAACAGGCATCTGTGCCAAATGCAACCTTTCCGCTGTGTGCGGAAACCACCCAGGGCCAAGATTGCCACCGCAAGCAGGAAAGTCACGAGCCACTCTTCCGACCCATTGGATTATTGTTTTATCCATCCTCAGCTTACTGGGAGCGAGTCTTCTGATTTTAATCATTTTATTGATTCTTTGGCGAGGTAATCAGATCATTGACGAAAAGAGGAAGGCGGGAGCGCTTCCTGAGGATGTGCAGCACTTGAGGGTGTTTTCGCTCAAGGAACTGAGAGAGGCCACTGGCAACTTCACAACAATACTCGGCAGAGGAGGGAGTGGGGTGGTGTATAAAGCGAGACTGGCAGGAACAAGGGATGTGGTTGCGGTGAAGTCTCTGAAAGAACGCCATTGGCGAAGTGAGCGGGATTTCTTGCATGAGGTGGCAATCCTAGGAAGGGTTGCCCATAAGAACTTGGTGGAGCTGCAGGGGTTTTGTCATGAGGAGGAGAGATACTTCCTTGTCTACGAGTTCGCGCCGAATGGCACTCTCAAGGACCATCTCCACAATTCCAGTTGTGGTTTGCTGCTGACCTGGCCCACAAGAGTGAGGATAGCACATGATGTGGCCAAGGCACTGGAGTTTCTGCACCATCTGCTCAGTCCACCACTCGTCCATCGAGACATCAAACCGGAGAATGTCCTGCTGCTGGATGATTTGACACCTAAGGTAGCTGACTTCGGGCTCTGTCGAAAGATCAATTCCCAAGGGGGTTGCTTGAACACAGACCCAGCGGGAACCCTCGGATACATGGGGCCAGAAGTTTACAGAGGCCTCGATGTCACGGAGAAAGTGGACGTGTACAGTTTTGGTGTTCTCTTACTCGAGATCATCACAGGAAAACGACCATTCGGCAAAGATTTCTCGTTGGTACGATGGGTGAAAAGCATTGCAAAAGATCAGACGTCAGCGATGGAGCTTGCTGACAAGAATCTGCAAGGAGCTTTCGACCCCGTTCAGCTGTACCTGCTGACATGTGTGGCCAGGCGGTGCATATGTCGGACAGCACAAGACAGACCAAGCATGGAGAAAGTGGCGCAGGCTTTAGAAATGATCCAGGGCCTGAATTTGGTTGGAACGGACTCCTCCACTACGGACGAGTGTACCGAAGTGAGTATCAAGTGCATGGCTGCTCTCTCTGAGCCAACCAGGGCATGGGAAGATGAGGACAGCTCCATAGCCAATGCAGAGGACGGTGCAGACTGTTCAGCATGACTATCCATTCCGAGGGGGAATGGCCAGAACCGCCTCCAGGAAATTTGGAATAACGAAATGGCCCTTGTCAGTATGGTGGAGAAAGGCACTCCCAACTCCAGATCAGGGAAATTATGACAAAAACACACACCCGCAGAAAATATGAAAAAAAGACATGCCCGTTGTCAGAATGTACCTGCACAGTGTGCACGGTCCGATGGATGATGACCTAGATAGTGCAAGGAAAATGAGTGAGAGTGCATGACGGAAATCCAAATTGCATCATCGCATTGAAAAGCAGATAGTCGTGTGTCGCACAGAGAGCGGAATGCGCCAAGTACACACCAAATAAGCACAAATCAATGAACTCAATTGTCAATGTCAGCCCCTGTCTCACCATCGTCAACAGTATACCCAATGTTGCAGCTCTTCCATATGGCGCCTGGCGCCCAACCACAGACTTACGACACCTATCCCACCGTCTTCACCCGAATATAACGCCCGGTCATTATACCCGTATTTGGGGCCATTTTCTGTTCAGATGCAGCGATAATGACTGGGTGTTCTATTCGGGTGAAGACGGTAGCCTACACTGCGATGATGGCAATGCAACCAGAAGAACTTCTGCTGCCGAATTGATGCACATAAAGATGTCACCCATGCAGACCTCCACGACACACCAGGTAGGTCCTCCTCTCTCCCAGGCTCACTCCCTGACTGTCCCCTCACAGGCTTACCACCATACCCAAGGACCATGACCAACCCCACCGGCTTCCATGCCTGTACAGCCTGGCTATGGCCGACGTGCAGCGCTGCCTCCAGCAGCGCCCAACACCAGCGCCCGTGTGCGCTACCAGCTCTAGCCAGGTGCTCTCTCCAGCGTGCGCTCCAGCAGGCCTCACGCAGCATGCACCGGACAGAAAAGTGTCGGGACTCCTGCCCAGCACGTCCAGACTCAGTATCTGTGCCCAGGGCCTTTCCCAAATGAGCCCCGGGGCCCGTTGGGTTGGAGGGCTCAACTGCCCGACGTGGCCCTCGCTGTTCGCGGCTTCCTGATTGGCCAAAAGGGCCCTTGCAAAAATAGCAGCCAGCGAGAGGCCCAGGACCCCACGACGTCTCGGTCACAAACCATGGCCTGGCCTTTTCTCAACCGCCCCACACTGCATTTTAACTGTATGGCGTGAGGGCAGACGCAAAATGGGCTCATGGAAAAGGAGTCCTGCCGCCTGCGGCATTTCCACCACCCAGCACTCTGGCTGGGCCTGGTAGGCTCTGCGGAGGCCTCAAAGCCTTGCAATAGTGCAGACATCCGGGTGTGTTGTGTTGGGGGCCTGAATGTTATTTGTAACTTTGATGGGGTTATTCTGTTTTTTCAACTTTTTTTCAGTTTTTTAATATAGAAGGGGGACAGCCTCGAGATATCATCGTCAAACTGACCCACCCCAGGTGAATTCAGAGTCTGATTCTGTCTGGATTCCAACTTAGGTCCGATTATCAACAGTTCATCGGGTGTGCCGTTCGGCCACATGTGCTGCGGGTGGATGGGGTTATTTGAAGAAATAGTTATTTCTGAATAGCATTACGTGACAGATACCATGGTTGTCTAGAAAAAAACACCCTCGTTGCTGTGTACCATACAAAATTTCAATATTCTGTAAGATTCTTAAAAAAAACACCCCCGTTGCCGTGTACCATACGAACTTTTAATATTCTGTAAGAAAAAGAAGAAAAAAAAACGTCCTGATGGGCCTGGCTCCATGTCCATGCTGGGGAGCATCAGTCCAGTTTCCCTTTAATTTTCAAAAAAAGGAAAAACAACGGCTCCTTTCTACTGGTGTGGAGTGCCAGCTGCTGAGAATCACGCCCAGCGTCTGTTGAAAAACACCTTTGGAGGATAGGAAAGGTGGAATCGAAAAGGGAAAAGGGGGGACAAGGGAGGATGCAGGACAACAAGGGGATAACCAGAGACTACAGACTCCTCTTCCACGACTGGACCAAGCTGGACGACTCAATCCCAATGCGACCGAGTGATGAATTTCCAGAATTCTCCCCCCCTCCCCGGCTAATAAAAGGACCTTTACGAATTATAGACCCCAGATGAGTACCCCGACAGCGAGGGGCCCTGTCGGCCAGAACTTAAATTCATGAGCAGCAACCCAAAAGACAAAGTTCCTGAGGCAAATGTCACATCCATAATGAAATGGAAGGTCCTTTTGAACAGTCACAGACAGGTCCTGAAAGAACAGGTATTGGACACAGTTTTTAAGATTGAGAAAGGGTCATGCCTCCTCGATGGAAAGTCACGTCTGTCCGACAATGAGTCAAAGGCCACATTCCCAGTCCAGTCATAATCCCACGAGTCAGTCCTGATTCAGACCAGGAGTCCAAAAGACAGGCCCGATGGCCCAAAGCGGCAGCAGACCATGGGAAAAGATACTGGGACACACACTTTGCAACAACGGGTACTGGGCCGGAGTCCCAGACACTTGAGGCTGAATGCAGGGCACGCCAGACCAGTCCAGCACTATTAAGGACTGGCCAGCCTCCCATTTGACAGATGCTCACTTCGCATGAGAGTGTGGAAGTGCCGTGGCACTTGTGCGCTAGATGTGTGTGAGCTGCGCTAGGCTGAAGAGCAGCGCTATGCGGGAAGGAGGAAGAGAGTGGGAAGGCAGCCATAGCTGCGCCAGCGCTAGTTAGTATGTTAGTAGGGATAGTCGGTAGGAGATACCAGTGAGTAGTATTCAGAGTAGATCCTCGTGTGATAGGGAGTGTGCATGCATGATGAGTGAGGGTAGACCAGGACTATAGACATCGAGGGAGAGAGAGAGAGAAGGCAGCCGAGAGAGGGGGAAGTGTGAGCTATGGTGACACTTACCTGTTGAGCGCTGTTGTTGACGTTTGGCAGCTGGCGCTGAAGAGCGCTAGGCCTGGAACTCATGTTGATCGAAGAAGACTTGTAACTCTGTTCAGCGCTATACATTTTGGACTCATGAAATTCCTCTCTTAATCTGGTTATGATAATTGAGTTGAGCTTCCTGGTTCTCATTTCATCTTCTATTGGGTTTTGTGTGAGACATCGCAATCTGTGAAATCTGTGTATATGCATGTGATCTGATGCGCTCCAGCAAGTGATGAACAGTCGGGTTCCTTGCACTAACAGCCTGGTAGGAATAGCATGGTATGGGGGAGAGAAATGCAAAAAAAAAAAGAAAAAAAAAAAGACAAGAAATAGAAGATGAGATGCCCCCAAAGCAAGACTGACTGACAGCGGGTTAAGAGTCTGAAGAATAAGTGCAGAATGGATGGAAGGCCTGAGGGTTAAGAGTCTGAAGAATGTCCGGGAAGAGTAGCTGGACTGCTCGTGATTACAGTGAGTACAGAGAGTACTGAGAGTACAGGCACCCCCAAAAAAGGGCTGAGGAGGCAGATTTAGCTCACAACTAAAGACCCAAAGAGCAGCTGGAGGCTACTACTAGTCGGGGTTGCTTGTATCACCCCCTCTAGTAGACAGCCAAGGCTTCCCCCCCCCCCCAAAAAAAAAAGTATTCTTTGAAGTTTGAACTTCACGCTTCCCCACGTTATGGTTAAACCACCAGTACCTACCGGTTGGGGCGGCCGTTAACGTGGTAGCCGAATCGGCCTGCATCTCTGGTCCAAATTCATTCGAGGCCAGGGGGTACGAAAAATGCCGTAGGTACTGGTGGTTTAATGGAAGGCCCAAACTTCAGGGGTTTTCACCGCATCACCACAAACAATGCAGGCTCATAATAAAAACATTGAAAAGTCAAACAGGCAAAAAAAGACGGGAGAAAAAAACTCAAAAGCACTGTAAAGTAGTATAAACCCTATTCGAAGTATTTTTTGGAGTTTGCCAAACTTTTCTCCGAATTTGGAATTCAGTGTTTTTGCCAATTTTTGCGTTACTGGTCCACAATTCTCCAAATACGTCGAAAGACTCGAAACTGAATACAGATATACCNAGTTTGCCAAACTTTTCTCCGAATTTGGAATTCAGTGTTTTTGCCAATTTTTGCGTTACTGGTCCACAATTCTCCAAATACGTCGAAAGACTCGACGCTCAAAATCAGGAGCCGCATTCACATATGTGAGGGACTCCGAGCCACACACACGGTCTCACAAACAAAAAAAAAAAAAAAAAAAAAAAAAAAAAAAAAAAAAAAAAAAAAAAGGAGGCAAAAGTCAGGGAAATATGGCAGTTTCGCCGTTTCGGGGAAAAATTTGCCGAAAAATGACACACCTATTAACCACCAGTGCTCGAACTGGAGCTTGCTATATTCGCTGTATTTCAAAATGCAATCCTTAGAAACCACTCAAGATCTGGGCAGCTATTGTATGCTAGTGGCTGTTCGCTATGTCCATATTGGACTTTCGGCCTCGCCGCACGGGACACGAGACGAAAAACGCAACGAGTGCATCTTCCTGCAGAAAATGGCCAGGTTCGTCGGTTTGCTATAAATTGTCACGAATGTATTTTGCCTCCTTTCCTGGGCAGATGCACTCGTTTCGTTTGCCATGCGGCGAGACCCTTTCTCCCCTGGGGTGATTTCCAGTGCAGGTGTTGTTCTCTAATGGCTGCCACTTTACCCACTATTAACCAGCTGCTCCAAAATCAAGATTTAATCCGACCTTCTTCCTCTGGCCTTGATTGTATTAGAGATCTCGTCTTTCTCCATTGCACTCTGATTTACGCTGGTATCAGGTCTCTTGTGGATGCCCATATTTTGTTGCTGTTATTGCTTGTGTTCTCCAAGGTGATGCTGTATCTTTCTTTCTGGATCGCCCCCTACTCTTCCACACCCTTTCGGGCTTTGTAATATTTGTGGGGATGTAGTCCAGAGGAGGATTTGAAACTTGAAAGATTTTTTCAGGGAATGGGGAGGAGAATAGTGATGTCCACAGGTCTTTTCCTCGAGCAGAGTGGAGCCTCGAGCAGATCGGTTGCTTCCTTGCAGTATATCAGGCAGTGAAGAATGTCTTTCGGTTCCTGGCTAGAACACACCCTGCACTGCCTGCAGGTCTCTGAGCTATTCAGGTAATTCTTTTTCTGCGGCGTATGTGAAGCCATTCGTTGAGGGGGAGGGAGGCATATGCAATCAGCAATTGTAGGCTTTTGATTTTGACTGGTCGAATGGATTTTAAAATTTAAATCCAAAATTTTCGTCATTGAATTGTGATCTCTATATTGGGGTCATTGCCCTGAAATTTTCTCCTCCTTTTGTTTCATGTAGGTTACGGGTCTTTTGTTTTCAGGCGCATAGAGTATCCCAATGTGACTGTATATTCATATATGGGAATCGGCGGTCCATTTTCTACCTTTGGCTTTACTTGCCAGATCCATTCCGCCGGGTCGAAATTCT